GTTTCCGCCCAGGTCGCCGGCGTCTGCACATCCCGGTGGCACTGGCAGTACAGGTAGCCGCTGCCCTACCCCGACATCACGCTGCCGCACCATTGGCGCCTGGATCCGCACCGGATCCCGGTGCCGGCGGTTCCGCGAACCCAACAGGAGCACGACGAGGAGGTGCGCAGGCACCGGGTGCAGCTCACGATGGAGTAGTGGCGATGGCCGAGTACGTCGCGGACTCTCCCAACTGAGAGGCTTGGTTTGCCCTCGAACACGAGGAGCAACGAGGTGTAGGCGTTGACGCCATCCCGCCGCCGTTTCCACCGCCGCCCTCATGGGTAGAGCTGGAGGAAATTGAGGCGGAGGCGGAGTACCAAGCCGTCCTTGAGGAGGCCCTGCATCACGCGCTGGAGGCTAGCCGACTCGAGGAGGACGCGCACTGGGATGGGCTAGAGCAAGCCCTTGCCTTGTCGGCGGCGGGGGACTCCGTCCACACCCCGCTCTTCGTCCCGCCTCCGCCACCGCCGCCCGGCGGGCCCAAGCCGAAGCCAGAGCCGGAGCCGATGAGGAAGTGCTCCCTTCCTCAACCCACTTGGCCGGAGGAGGCCTACACGTGGACCGGCCAGTACCGCGAGTGGGTGAGCGCGCCTCCTGTCCACTACACCGCGACGCCGACGCGGGAGGCGGTCCACCTTGAGCGCTGGAAGGCGCACTGGCTCGCCCACGGTGGGGGCCGACGGCGAGGGGCAGATGCGCTACGAGCAGATGCCGCAACGCGACGCGGAGGCGTTGCGGCTTGAGGAGGAGGAGGAGGAGCGCGCGCGGCAAGCCGCAATGTCGCCGCCCCAGCAGACGCTGGAGGAGGCCGCCCTGGCAGCGTACTAGGCGACGTTCGGGTGGGATGGCCCTGCTCTCGTCTTCATCGACCTCACCGACAGCGATGGCGATGGCGACGTCGACATCAAGGGCAAGGGCAAGGCCGACGATGTCTAGGGCAACGTGCGGGGCGGCAGCGTGCGGGCGCAGACTTTTTTTATGTTTTAATTAATGTTTAATTAGATTTAAGTGAACTTTGTCCGGCAGTTGACTGGCTACTTATATTTAATTAATGTTTAATTATGTTTATTTCTACTAGCTTTTTTTTTTCATGCCGACACATTGGGGTCCGCCTTTTGTTGGACGGTCAAACCGACCCATTTAAATGCGGACGCGCATATCCGCTTGGCGGACCCAAACGGACGAAAAGCGCGTCCGTTTGGATCGCCTGTTGGAGTTGCTCTTAGCGTCGCCCTCCTTGAGCCAGAGCACACAGGAGCACAGCCACGCGATCGTGCGCTCAAGGAGGCAAGTCAGATACTACAGCAATAGAGGACGCTGTTGTTTTAAGGTTGGCATGCAGTTCTTCAACAAAGTTGCAGCTCTGGTAGCTTTAAAGGCTTCATGTGCATTAGCAAAAGAAGTCATTGCAGTTCTGGCAGGTGGCCACAAACAAGGTTGACCGCAGAAGATTAAACCGATATATTCTTACCAATGCAAATCGCACAGATAACTTAGCATAAAGTTAACCGAAAAGGTTGGCCAGAACACAACAGGGTACACACACAAGGCCAATGCTGCAACTAAAATTTTGGGCAGTTGGCCAGAAGCTGCAGTGACTTTGTTCACTGCGGCGGTACAAATCCCTAAACTACCCAAGACGAGGGGCAAGAACAAGGTTCTGTTTTGCAGCACAGGCGCAGCAGAGCACCGATCAGACCATGTACGTCATCCCCACACGCATGATGTTCGAGTGAGGCATCTTCAAGGTTGCGGTGCCACCCCTGCAGTTCCTCCTCAGGAAAGCGTAGAAATAGTTGATGATGAACTTCTTTGTGAAGAATGATTGCTTCCTCGCCCTCACATCGCCATGTGCTAAGAGATATGTGAACCCAGATGCCATGGCGTCCCTCAGTGCCGCGAGCTCGTACTCTAAGCTGGGGTCTTCTTCCGCGGACATGGAGCTAGAGGGGGGCAAAGGAACGCTGCCTTCCATGCCCAACATTCGGCTGTCATCACCCGGTCTCTGATCAGAAAGCAGTGGAGTGTGCAGATCCTCAGCAGCAGTAGCAGGAGATGATGGAACTATCTCGGACACTTCAGACACATCATCACGCTCTGCCTCCATTGTGCTCACCTCGAGCGCGAGTTCCTGGGCCTCCCTCCTCAGAAATTTCTCTAGGCTTTCAACCAAGAGATGCTCAAATGAGCCATGGTCCTCTTTCCTGACATCCTTGTAGCCATAACGTGCGACACAACGGAACATGTGGTAGTCCTTCTGGCCAACCCTTCTGAACAAGAACCTTTCTTCAAGCGGCACATATGGGACAGGAACATATTTGATGCAAACAAAAACGATCGTGGAGTGCATTGCTGGCAGTGTGATCAACAGATGACCAAAGATCGATGGGATTCCCTGGACCAGCTCATTGTACACAAGTCCAATACCTGGAACTCTTACTGTGCCAAGTGTCGATCCCAGGTCGAGAATAAAGTCCAGGGATATCTTCCCACGCATCTCACTCTGGTATTTCAACACGCTTCCATAGTTCCATGTATACATTATGCAAAGAAACAATGATGAGAAAGCAAGTGGTAACCATCCTCCTTCTAGCAGCTTTGACATGACAGCAGTTAAGTAAATGAACTCCATTGCACCAAAAAATATAGGGAAGCACAGAACAAGGTACAGATTGGTTTGCCATATAAGAAGCATCACCAAGGTTACCAGTGCAGTGCTGACCATCATGACTCCAACTTCAGCAATGCCTGGAATTTTTTTTAGAGAATCGTGTGAGAAACAAATCAGATAGTTGCTTTGCTGAAGATAAATAATATCATATGCAGTGTTCATCATGAAATGGAGCAGTAACTGGCCATCAGTTGATTGTTATGCAACATAATATCTTATAGCCATGCCAAAAAGCTGAACATTATTGCCACAATAGTTTATCAAAGATACGTATTCTAGATGCTAAAACAAGAAGGATATTGTTGTAAATTCCTTAAAAACAAAAACACTGACCATATGCATTGGCAATATCGTTCGTACTCCTGAAAGTGGCCACGATGATGATGCACATGATCATGAGAAACCAATTCATCACAGGTATGTAAATCTGACCCATGACTTTCTTGGAGGTATGGATTATTTTGATCCTAGGAAAGCAACCAAGAGCCATAGCCTGCTTTATGCAAGAGAAGGTTGCAGATATCATAGCTTGGCTGGCAATCATAGCAGCAAGTGTAGCAATCACAAATACTGGCCAGAACAGAACTTCTGCTTTGCAAATAAAACAAAAATACTTAATGAGGGAACATCACATGGATAATTATTTACAGTGATAATAACCTAGAGTCCTAGACAGTCTGATATATCTATGCCATCCGAACCCGAGCAGCTTACCTGGTACAGAATCATAAAATACCCTTTCTACATCAAGTGGATGCTTCATCAAATATGCAGCTTGGCCCATGTACGCAATAAGCAGGCAAGGGAATACCACAGCAGTAAATGCTAGCTGGAACAAACAAAAGGAAATGTCAACTTAGCTCTGATAAAAAGTGATTCACAAATTTCAAATCAATCACACAGTAAAATCAGGAAAAGGTGTATCTCAGTTAACTAGTCAATGTCTTAACTTGTATTGATTTGACAGTGAAATGGCCCAGATCAGCAAACATTGCTTCAGCTCCTACAATTGCAACAAGAAATGAGTCTTGGGCTCTTGGCCGTATGCAGCAGAATAACTTTCAGTTGTAGGATTTATGACTGGTAAAATCGATGACCAATCAGCCCTTATGATTCACTCAGCATAAATTTCGAGTTACATTTGTTAGTAGTGAAACAAGTGAAGCACTGCCATCCAAATTATGTCAGATAATATCATGACATCCAGAATGCTACAGTATGGGGACAGGCAGAAGAGGATAATTTTCATCCCTTTTAATATTCTTATAGTTTCTATGTAACTGTCTTGGTACTGCTGAATATAGGAATGCCAAAAACATCACAAGACACAGTGTGACTGTAAATTCTGTAATATTGGCGCTGGCTATTTTAAAGGATACGAGGAAAAAAAACTAAATTAAGAAACCAGACAATGCTGGAGTAAGAGGTACCTGTGATGCACAAGACACAACCACCGAGAGCTGACCATGCCTTTATGCCGTTCATCTTGAAAAAATAATAGATGTACATTGGATTGAGTGCTCTCACGACTGACGTGTCATACTTAATTATGTTGTATATTCCAATGGAGCCCAAATTAAGAAACCACAAAGCCAAAATGGGAGCGAACATGATTCCAACTTTGCCAGTTCCAAAGCTCTGGACACTGAATAATAGCAGAAGAACTAGGATTGAAACAATTACAACAGCATCTGCAAAAAAAAAAAGATGAAGCAAGGAGATACTTATGTTCTTGTGGCTTTGGAAAGTAGGATTGTATGAAAAGATGGTTTAATATGTCGGCGGTGATATAATGACAGGACATAAGCAGACAGTTGCAATATTCATGAAGGGCATAACAAATACTCCCTCCGTAAACTAATATCAGAGCGTTTAGATCACTAAAATAGTGATCTAAACGCTCTTATATTAGTTTACGGAGGGAGTACCAAACCTGCATCAAATCCAGCAACTTGACCCTGGAGACCACTGACAGCAGACATAACTGAACATAACAGAAAACAAGAGACGAGGGTCAGGGACGATGCATTTTCAAGGTGAATAGCCATTTCGGAATCTCTGTTGGTAGAAGAAATAAGGACAAAAGAGTGTGGACATGAAGCACCTGACATTGACGGAGTGAGGATGCCATCTCCAATCACCATGGAAGTCCCCATCAGAACCAAGAACAGGAGAATATTTTTGTAGAGTGGCTTCTTTTCTAGGTAGTCTTTGACAAGCAGAGCACGTTCAAGCTCAGGAGTAGGTAACTTGAGCCTAAAACTAGAAATATTTTCATCCACACGCTGCTGATTCGGCAACAGGCTGACTTTTGCATACCTGCAAATCAACGAATATAATGCAAACGTGCCCCCTGCAAACCATGAGATGATTCAGTCGGTAAGCCAAACCAATCTGGACAGGAGCGTACACAACTGATGGTCTACAAGCATTATTTACAGGACCAGTTTTGCATCTTACCTTCGCCATTGTCATTGGCTTTCAGGACTATAAATATGTATTTCGCAAAAGGAATCAACGCTATCGTGTACATGACCAGCGAAAGCGCTCCAAGGATCTCCACCTCTGACTTGATGGGGACCTTGCTGAACACATCGCTGAAGACATATAGAGGGCTCGTACCCATGTCACCATAAACAACTCCGAGGGTTTGAAATGCCATCGCGACGGTGCCCATCAACGATATATCCTGGTGCAAGGTGCAGCCAAGAGGGGTTAAGCATCGCTTCCATTGCTACATGTGGTAGAAAAATATCCGACTCATCAAAGAAAAAAAAGGCCACGCGTGTTTTCAGAGTCAGGCACGCAGATACTAGTTGATATATGAAATGCCCAACCAAAATGGCAGCAAAAGCACAGGCTCGTCAGGACTACAACCTCGGTAAACCTCGGGCGATCGATCCGTGTATCCTATGATGCTTTCGCCTATTGAGAAATGGTCAAAGGTCGCGTTGTTTTATACTGAAACAATTCCAACTCGCTACGCTAAGCCGCCAACGCCAATCAAACCGTCCCCAAATCAGCGGATCATCAGGGTGACGAACCTGGGCGCTGTGGCCATGCGCGCCGCGCACGTTCATGGACTCGACGTCGAGGGAGTCCACCCTCTTGGGCCGCTTCCCCAGCCTCCGGCGAAACGCGGAGGAGCTCCTCCGCGAGAGCAGGGCCCCTCCTGTGGCGCACAGGACCTCGGCCTCGTCGGCGGCCGAGAGGGCCCAGGGCTCCCGCTCGTCCTCGAGCGACCAGTGCGCGGACTCGGACGAGTCGACCTCGCTGGCGTCCACCCACCGCGAGCTGCCCCCCGATCGCTTCGGCCTGAGCGGCCGCGCCGACGGCGGCTGCTCCTCCTCCTGGATCCCGCCGTCGTCCATTTCCGTCCCCTCTGGCGCGGCGGCTCGGATCCGAGGAGAGCGCGGGCTGGTTCTGAGCGAGGCTGCGGCGAGGTGTGGTGTGGCGTGGCGCTTCGTGTTGGGCTTTCTTCGGGTTTCGGGTTTTCTTAATCGGGATTCGGGACCGTAGCAATGATGCGGGGGCAGCGTACGGCTAGGATTTCGTGTGGAATTATTGCGATTTGTTTAAGTGATCCGATGAGATGATCACGTTTGGCTTTTGGCGGCCAGTTGAGCTGTCTGTTGGTGAAATTGCATGCAATTTGTCTCTACACGTCCAGCCTCCCACATATTTGTAAGGCTGGTCACAATGAACAAGAATATAAACTAGTAACTTACACACTTCTCTAGACTATGTTCCTACCTTCATAGTGGGTAGGAACATCTATGTAGTGTCATGCAACGATGTATTTATTAGGTTATAGACTCATTGTTTTTTGAAGTGTGTGATGTTTCGGTAACTTAGCTAGTTACCACAAGCACCTCTCTCTTCATTAAATATGTGCCACATAAGCAAAGTTGTATTGGAGTGTGTGATGTTACTCCTAAGGCTGGTCATAGTGGGAGTAACATGGGTAGTAACATAGATGCCACATAATAAAAAATGTTGATGTGACAAGTAGTTAATGAGGAGAGAGGCAAATAGAGTAACCTAATATGTTACCATCACATAGCGCTTTCCAATGCAAAATGAGTCTACAAGACAATAAATGATCATGTGTATGTTACTCCACATATGACACTTCCCACTATAAGGGTAGTAACATAAAGTAGTAACGTATGTATGTTACTACTCTAAGTTACTTCCCACTATGACCAGCCTAAGTTCCTCCCCATTGTGACCAGTCTAACTGAACCCTTTGTGTACTTGCTATAGTAATTTTCAGTGGTACGTGTCCCCTCCGGCCCTCCCACATATGTTTTTCCAGTGAACTCTTTTTTTACTGTAGTAACTTTGTTTCTTTCATGCCAAGCAAGGAGATCAGTTTTTCTTTTTGTTCTTGTTTAGACTCACCAAAGTGGTCGGTAAAGACAACATGGGTTACACTTACACGCTACAGTGCCATCTTTCAGTTGTTGAGTGATTCGTCCTCTCGCCCTCTGCCCTCTGCGCTACGTCACGTGGAAAACTAGTACGGTAGGCGACAATAATAATAGAGACACGTAACATCACAATGCTGCTCTGCCAGTCCAGTGCATGGGGCGGGGCCGGCACAGGTTATTATCAGCGTGGCGTCGATACATTGGTGCGTTCGCAACCGGGGACGGGTTTTTCTGATGAGAATTGAAGCGTGAGATCTCAGGTCCGATGGGGCGCCGTCGCAGGCGGCTTCCACTTGCCAAATATCCGGGAACGGCGCCGTAACTGCGTACACACGGCGGTTGTGCCCGACGAAAGCAGCAGTTCGACGACTCGTTTTCTTTTATCTTTTTTATTTAGCTTGAGATTTTGGCCAAGGACTACGAAGAGATACTGATGTATGATCCGTACAACGACATGTATATCATATCCTCGTTTCAGATTGCTCCTCTTATTTTTAACATTGAGATGGCTCATGGAACAGGGATAAGGTATACACTAATTTATTTTTTATTTTTTTGAGAATAGGTATACACTAAAGTTAATAGTGTCACCATCAACTCCTTAAATCAACTAGTCAATGTGTACGTGCAATGCACGTTAATCTGGAAGATATTAAGTGCATGCGGATATTAAGTAGGATATTATTTGCATGTTATTATGTGATTAACACTATTTTTGGTATAAAATTAACTGCACGCTAAACGTGTTGAGCGCTCGACATTAAAGCAGTCTAGGTCGTTGGATTGACATGATTTGATGAGAGATTAATTGGATCTGCCTCGTTGGGTCTTTTTATATTGGTATAGATATAGATGAATGGGTTCTCGTCGTCGGTCGTCATTGGCTACATATCTATCACTGATAGTAAAATGCCCGTGCGTTCAGTGGCGGAGGACGAAACTATTTCGAGGTGGGGCGAACTCTTAAGGCAATGTTCTTATGCAAACCAATATTTTCTTATGATCCTAGACAGAATAAACAAATACAACATATTTTAAATAGAATAACAACTTAAAACATTAACGATAAGGAAGTTTTAATGGCATGCGCTCCTGCCACCGGGAATAGTGCATGCTCTAGCCCTCGGGAAAGCGCCCTCGCCCCGCCTGGACGCGCGCTCAGCACTCGTGCTGGTCACCGCCCCCGCCCCCGCACCTAAAAGGCAATGCTTTTGCTGGCCGCCATCCCCGAGCGCCGCCGCTAGGGTTAGAGCAACTCCAACAGTTCCCCTAACTCTAAAATAACCACAGTTTACGGGAAGTTGGGGCAAAAAAATCTCTCGTGGCAAGTGGCGGGTTGAAATTTCATCAACCGCCACGCTCATGACGGCGCCAGCGCACTCCGCCGTGACCCTGCCGCCACCACCACCTCGTGCATTGCCGCCCGCCGCCGTTTGCCACTGCCTCGTGCTGTCCGCGCCGCCGCCACCGCCACTGCCTCGCCGGGGCCACTGATCAGTGGGTCATAGCAATTATCTATTTTTTGTTTAATTAAAAGTAAAACAAACATGCTTTTAGGGGAAGAAGATTAGAGGGACTGAAAAAATTTATTTTCAAAAAACTTCCCCTAACTTTTACAGGAAGGCAAAATAACCATTTTTAAGGGAATTTTTTTTAGCAGTTTAAGGGAAGATTTTTAGTGTCGAGCGAGAGTCTCGAGCATGGTGTAGTGGCCTGGACGAACGATTCGGTCGGGCGAGGGGCTGCGAGGCATGAGATTGTGCGTGACCCAGTCCGTGGCATGGCCTGCTAGTTTTCTTTAGAATAACGTGACCTACTAGTTGATAAGGCCCAACAAGAAGTACATGATTCACGGCCCACTAAAACGTTTCACCGGAATTTCTAGCGACCGACTGGAGCTTTATCGTATACGTATTTGTACCTAGTAAAAAATCTGCAGAAATCAAGGTAGGGCGAGCGCCCAACCTCGCCCTACGGGCTTTTAGTTTTTATTGGATATATATAATGATGATATTGATCAACCACGGTGCCGAATAAGTTATTTTGCACTCGGGTAATTGTACGATCGTTTCATAAAAAATATGTTTGATACAGAAAAAGTACATTCGTGTTGATTTACTACAGACTGGCATCAGAAAATTTAAGATACGAGCAATAAGATCACAAAATTTGCATTTATATGTATATTTTGTACTATGTTTTTACGGTCATAATTTATGTCATGTAAATTATATTTTTTTGACTGACATACATTTTTTTCTTAGATTGTCTTTTCACTTCGGACGTAGGAATTTTTTTACAGGACGTAAGTATATGGTATAGTGATGTAATAAGCGAGGGGTGGAGAATAACTATTCTACATCTTTTTTTTGTTGTATAAAACTCGGTGAATTTTTAGCCCCTTCTAACAACATTGCCTGGGGACCCTTGTTGATAGATTCTTTTTGAACATCGACATAATCTATCTTCATCTCTCTCATACTTTGTAAAAAAAATACACGTTTTGTATTATCATGTGCAACATATATACAAAGAAGAACAATTATCTGTATACGTCTTCTCATTATGTAAAACTTGATGAGGTTTTAGTCCGGTCCAATATAGTTACATCAGCAACTTTGTCAATGAACAATTTCAAACATCATCCAAAGCCACCCGTTTTTATACCCGATCTACAAAAGTGAACATATAAACCTATATTAAAATAAAAATGAATTATGCTAATATATAATATATTTTTTACAACACAACATAAATATAGACGCTCACATACACACACATACACTCACCCTAATGAATGCACACACCCACGTGCATTTTACATTTTTAGTCATAGTAGGTGGCATCATACTTTTTAGTAGAGTGAGGCACATGCAGATTTAATAAATTGTAGGCTCATGTACAAATTACTTGTTTGTAATTATTCTTCAATAGTGTATGTGATATTTTTTGGACACGGCGATTTGATGCCCGAGCCCAGATGATCCCGAAATCGCCGGCGTCAGCTCTAGGCTCGGGACCCGAATAATTCGTTCTGACGCGTCTGACGTCGAGGGTGGAAAAAGGGATGTGCGATGAAATACGGTACGAAACAGTGGCTATTTCGTGGGCCCAAAGCATATGGGTGGGACGGCGCTCGCGCACGGGAACTCTGGTCCGTGGACCAGATCGCTACTAGTCCAACCGAGCCAGGGATCACTCCCCCCACCTCTGTCTCCGTTCTGAGTAGGTCCTTGCGGCGGCGCTCGTTCTGCAACGGCGAGCACGGGGAAATGGAAGACGGTGGGGTTGAGTTCCTGCTTGATGCCATTGACATGTAAGTGGTCTCAGATCTGCAATTAGTTTTTTGACGATTTGCTCTTCAAGCTGTTTTTCCTTGAAGAAGAAACCTAACGAACGGCCCTGGTGGCGGCCATTGATATCTTCTTGCAGGTTCCCATTACGAGAGGAATTCGCGGACAACCCCGAGCACCCAGATCCGGTTCCCCCGGTCTTGTTGCCAAACAGCGGAGCCGGCCTTGCCATTTCTGCAGACTCAAATACTGGATCTGGTTGCGCTCAACAGCTCGGCGGTGATGGGAATGATATGGCAGGAGTTCGAGTCCGCCGTCTCGCGGATGCATCACCGACGAGGTCGGACCAGTCTAATGACAGAGTCAATCCAGAGGCACCTCAGAGGACAAAAAAGGTGTGAACCCAAATCCTCCCGTTGTTGGTCTGTCACTATATGTTCGTCACAACTGCACAGGATTTTGTCGGAATTTGTTTACTTCTGTAATCGTTAGAAAAAAAGTCCATATACACCAGAAAGTAAGCTTGGCCACTGCATCCCATCCTTAGTGGTGCCTTGTTTAATAGTCAGAACCAAATTCATCGTACTGTTAGTATTCTTGTAGTAGAACTGTTAGACTGACTATTGTTTTGGTGGAACAACTCGT